AGACCATGTCGATTTATGTGAATAAATGGACGTTTAGGACTAACTTTAAGGAGGAGTCATCCCTCGTGGTACAGGTGGTCATCCCTGTATGCATTTATAGCTGAACATCTCCTGTCAGAAGCATCTCTCTCTGATCGAGACATGACAAAGTCTCCTCTCTAGCCACGTTTTGCGTATGGTTGTCTCGATGCTTTCCGTTGATCAGTGTGGTGCTTTAGTGCCCACTTGTATCCTTTCCAGTAAGGCGTATTCAATTAAGGGGATCTTACCAGGTAGTCACTTCACAGGCGAAAGCTGAAGCAATGCCCACGACGAATGTGGATGTGCTCAAATCGCAGATAATTACTCTGCAATTTGTTTCTTGTCTGAACCAATTGAAGCAGCATGAATCTGGACTACAGTGCATCGACTGTATTGATAACATAGAAAGGAAATCCCCGTACAGATCTATCGTCTATACGATCTCTGTTGTATTTGTTCTACCCTGAAGCATCGAAATGACGAATGGTGATTCCATTATCGAAGAAATTGATTCCATCCGATATCTTCGAGTTTCATTGAGGTTCTCTGTGAAATTTTCGAAGAAGAAACTCCCATTTGCAGTTTTCATATGATGGCGATAATCACAGTGCAAATTCTGATAGCAAGAATCCATTAATTGTTTCTTGCGCGAGGGCAAGCACTATGTTTTGTCCATGTCACACGGCAGTCTAGAAGTCCACAATAATATGTACGATACACTCAACATGTACTGAATACTAATTTCGTCTGTCAGGACCAGTACTGCAGCGAGGTTGGTACGTATTCCATTAATATGATCTTATTGCTCGTTCCTCTGTTGGAAGTATACCGAAACTCGTAGCAGAATACAGACCAGAATTGGTGACATGAAGGAGAGCGAAACTCAACGCAAATTGCCACTTGGACTGCTTGCGACAGAGTCGTAGGTCACCTCATAAGACATTCATTGACACTGAGCAGCACTGACGAAAAGGATCTATTTCGTTTGTATCAAGGGGTGACTGTTGATTGTTGAGCAGGATACGTTTCATCGTTTTTATCCATACTGTCAATTTTGAACATGTTTGATCGTATAGGCCTTATCTTCGATGCTTCTCACGATGTGTGGAGTACAGCTTGAACAACTAATAAAGCGCGAAGATAAAGGTGAAAGGGATGAAATTGAGGGATAGAGTCTCACTCAAAGGCTGTCAGTCTTACATGTGAGACTGTCCAAAGGGTGTGTTATGAAATTTAAATGCTCGCGAGCGACTTTGTGGTAGCATCTGCAACAATCAGTCTTTTCCAGCACCGTGGATCTGGGCAGAGCATTGCTGTAATGTACCAAAGCCATTGATCACGAGAGTTTGTCGGTTTCGACATGATACCGTGATGATTATGAGATGTGCAGTCGTACCGAAGCAACTGTACTTGAGTCTGGAAGCCATCAAATGCTGCTTAATGAAGAAACAGTGCTGTATACACCACATTCTCCAGTCAGATGCAGCATTTGTGTACTCTGGAGTGTCTGGTTGTTCTTATTAGGCATCATGCTTCGAGACTCTCTGGACTTCATGACATTCTTCTACAAAGAATTTCCCGTGAAGAAACTCCAGAAGACCACGTGGCCTTTAAGAAGTCAGTAGCAAAATTGCAAGTACAGGTACAGGCTCCTGGACTCCTGGAGTAGATGAATTGCAGAAGGAGACAGCGTGAGTTTAATGCCAGGTGAGAAATCGGGTGAGAAACATTGGTTCAGAAGTCATAATCTAAGAATTTAATCGCGTATGATTTTAAGGATGATTCGTCTACGATTCATATTCTCGAGTACTGTACCTTTATTCTGCGGCCTGCGTCCGCTTCTAGTCTACAGAAGCCTGGTGCATCTGAAACGAAGATATGAATCTCAAGGTGGAGATGATTGTGAAGGTACATGCGACTGCAGCCAAAGAATGTATCTGACAGTAAAGCAGACGGGATGATTTATGAAGTCTGAGCTGCGTGGGATGAAACTTGCGTTTGCAGCCGAAGAATCTGCCTGACAAAAAAGCAGAACAATCAGACACAAATCTTGAGACATCTAATGTATTGGTCTATTCGAACGGAGAAGATTTCGACAGCTTAGGTCTGCTATTCCCTGTTGATTAAAGGAGAGAGGGCATTGAAATTTGCGAAATTAACATTTTGTGTTGATTAGCTCGAGTGTGAAAGTTAGTGTCATGATCGATTGACTTGCGGAAAAATGTGGGGGGACACTTGGAGAGCTTTGTGCCAAGTAACCAGAGTCTAGGGTGTGCAACGAGTAGAGAGACATGCATGTAAGTCCACGCAATGCTGGTTAAAACAGAAGCTGTGGCATTCCTCAAAAGTAAGAGTTGCATGCGGATAACATTATTTATTCTACTTTGCTCGGAACTATGGTGGACAATTATGGGGTCAGTTCTGACCGGTAAGAAAGGCCAGACGTGATGCGCAAAAGGAGAGTGGAGAAACATCCTCTAAGCGAGCACTCCAAGGTTATTAATGTCGAGGGATTGCAAAAGGCAGGTGTCATAACTACACGTAGTTCCGCTGTACAGATATTGAGCTGGAAGAACAGGTCACTCACGCGTTCATCTGACAGCTTTGTACCTCCAGTTAATGATACTTGTGTTCGAAATTGTATTCAGAGTCTGAGATATCTTCTTTCGAGTCAGGGAGAAAGCATATCTAGAATCTACCATCTGTAGACAATATATCATTGTGGGGTTAAATGTTGTTGCTTTCTCGTCATGACAATTTCCTTCTAGACAAGCGCCAATTCAACATGGAGACAAGTTCACTTTTTATCGAAAGTGAAAGAGTTGGCCAGTTATACGTGGCCACTCGTAACTTCCTGCCGTTTGAAAAGTTACTTCTTTATTCTTTCTTCCAACTAGAACATTTTCATGCACCTTTTGACTTACGTAGAATGTAAACCAAGCTTCCTCCCAAAATTTCCTCTATAATGATTTATTGGTATGATGAAAGTACAAGGCTTCCTTTTTTTTTTCTCGAGTTAACCTTTTGATCGTAAGTTAGCAGCTTGTGATCCGCGACGAGTTTCTATGTTTCCCGGCGACTCTTGGTGACACTTGTTTGGGCCAATTTATAGTGTCTTATTATTTTTTGAAACACAAAATATCTAATGGTTCGCAATATTACAGTATATGACCGTAGATTTATTTACGTGAGCTAATGGAGAAGCAAATGTCTTGGAGAGACATTTTTCGTAGCCACAACTTTAACCTACAAGACACCTACTTCAGGACAGTGTGATCCACACTACACTACACTCACCGTTTCGACTTCTGACGAGCATGGCAGTTACAATTATAAAAGCTATAAAGACTATGATGCATGTCTACCTCTCATCGTTTGATACCGAGCACCGAAACCTCGCATACTTAAAATATATGCGAATTGCAAGACCATTGTGTGATCAGAGACGCAGTTGAATTCCCCACGATTTCTAATGGCCATGAAGACCCATGTCTGACTGTCACTTCGCCTACGACCTTGGTCTGAATCATTAAATCTAGTTGACTGCAAACCAATAAGTGTCCTAGCATCAGTTGTGGGCGGAAAACAATCTCGACGTAGAAGTCTAAAAAGTAGTGTCTAATTTCCAGCGCTGTATCCCTTTAAAAGAAATATCGTTGGCAGCCACTGTTCTAAGATGTTTCACGTGCTCACATACCATAAGCGTCTGACTTAAAGGTACTCGTTGACCGAGACGATATCTCCAAAATAGTTATATTAATCCTATCCGATAGAGAGATGACATGCATAGTTGGTGGGATTAATCATCAGTGCACTATGATGAGGTTCTGCTCGTGTCTACTACTCTAAGTTTCAACATAGTCCTTACGGTTATTGGGCCAGCTTGGGCCAGCGTTGCAAAGTGTTGGTTTCTGTTGAATTCCCTATATAATGCGTTCGTAGACTTTCCTGTCTCCGAATAAAATTGTTGTTTTCTATTCTCGTAACAGATTGTACACCGCGTACACAATCTTACATCATCATATTCCATAGTCGCAGCTCAGCCGAAAAAAGCGTTATCCATTCCAGAGCTAGTGCATGCATGAGCTTCAAGATGTTGCCGCGTAAATGTACGTTGGAATGGATGATATTATTCAAACAGGATTATCCATCTCTTTTCTATTATGAAAGAATAATAATTCTTTCCCGCAGTAGAGGAAATGAACTAGTAGTGATTGGTAAGTAACATGAACTCAAAAATTGTAGGCTCATACTTCTGAATCAATAGATTAGATCTGGTGGAAATTGATCTAGGAGCGTACATGACACAGCTGTAATCTTTACTAGTATCTTCGACCAATCTTGAGTGGTCGGGAGACATGAAAAGCTATGAAACGCAGCTCAGTAAGCATAATATAATATACGTTCCCTTCGTGTTAGAGCAAAGCCTTGAAAATATGTTATAGTTTACATAACCAACACGTATGAGATACTAAATGTGTGGCCATTTCTTCTCGACGTGAAAATCACAGTTCCCCGTGTTAATATAATGGGAAGTTTTGGTGCTCATTTGATGGAGAGAGTTTTTTGGCTATTTTAAGTGCTTGGTGCTCTCCTCTAGTATCTTCCTATGCTGTGCCTTAGAGTGGACCCTCACAGTGAAAGCATCTAGAACTTGAAGGCCAAGATCAATGTTTCAGCTACCATGGAACTGGAGTGCATGGTGTTGTCCCTACAACAGATAACTTTCTAGAAGATGAGTTTTCCTTACGAACCGCCCGGCATTTTGCTGTCTTTTACGAAACAGGAGTCCTCGGTTCTTTGACGATTCCAGTTGATGAGATGACTTTGATCACCAAATTTAGGCCCCGATTGGCGGATAGGAAAGGCAGGAGTCAAAACTTTGGATGACGTGACATACCTTGACCCATGTCACCAATCTGATGATGAAGCTAGCAAATTCAGGCCAGTATATAAGCGAAGTATCACAGCTACGGCTTAGTATGTCACTTCTTCCATTCCCGAGCTCAACTCGAGCTCGAGACTGAGAGCTCCACCTCGAGCTCTCTTGGAAGTGCCCGTCTGCTGCTGAGAGACTTCCGAGCTCGATTACGAGAACGTTGATTGCAGGCATTCCGCTCGAGCAAATGTCGATTTGAGTTGCAGATTTGTACACGAGGCTTCATCATTGGAGCTCACAGAGGTGCGCGAAGATGGAGTCGGGGGCGCGCCGCGGAAGTGTCCCATCGACCACGATTGCGATGTTTGCTGTGATTGCCGTGCTGCTTCTTCACATTTCAGCTGCAGAGGCGGGTCCTGGGTCTCGGAAATTGAGAACATTTAAGTTCTCCTTCCCTCCTTACGGACACAAGTCGCCACCGTATGAGTACAAGTCGCCTCCTTACGAATACAAGCCTCCAGTGGAGTACAAGCCACCGCCATATGAGTACAAGTCGCCTCCTTACGAATACAAGCCTCCAGTGGAGTACAAGCCACCGCCATATGAGTACAAGTCTCCTCCTTACGAATACAAGCCTCCGATGGAGTACAAGCCCCCGCCGTATGAGTACAAGTCTCCTCCTTACGAATACAAGCCTCCGATGGAGTACAAGCCACCGCCGTATGAAGACAAGTCTCCTCCTTACGAATACAAGCCCCCAATGGAGTACAAGCCACCGCCATATGAGTACAAGTCTCCTCCATATGAATACAAGCCCCCAGTTGAGTACAAGCCACCTCCATTTGAGTTGAAGCCTCCTCCATACGAGTACAAGTCTCCTCCTTATGAATACAAGCCTCCAGTCGAGTACAATCCTCCTCCATACGAGTACAAGTCTCCTCCTTATGAATACAAGCCTCCAGTCGAGTACAAGCCTCCTCCTTATGAATACAAGCCTCCAGTCGAGTACAAACCTCCTCCTTATGAATACAAGCCTCCAGTCGAGTACAAGCCACCGCCATACGAGTACAAGTCTCCTCCTTATGAATACAAGCCTCCAGTCGAGTATAAACCACCCCCATACGAGTACAAGTCTCCTCCTTACGAATACAAGCCTCCAGTCGAGTATAAGCCACCCCCATACGAGTACAAGTCTCCACCACATTACTGAGCTGCACTTCAGTGGACCTTGGGCACATCGTGTTGGGCATGCTGAAAACCGATGACAGATTTGAGCATATTGACATTCGTATTCAAGGCATCGGAGGCAGCAACGATCGTGATCACGAAGTGTCGAATTAAGGATCGTTTGAAGGTTGCAACGTTGCATGCTAGCTGATAGGTCTTATATTGAGAATCCGCTAGTAAACTGATTGTAGATCAGATTTCCTTCTGCGCTATAAGATTCTTCTTGAAAGCTCATGCAGACAGTAGATTGAAGTGATCCGTAGCGAGTTTACTGTCGGAGATTCAATTCTTGATCTGGATTCATTCTTTCTTCAGACGCATCAACGGATTGGTGGATTCCATATTTGTAGACTGTATTAAATTGTTTTTCTAGCGTTCGTATAAAGGTCATTCTTATTTCGTGCCTCTGAAGCTCACCGTGTATTTGTTTCTGTCTGATTCTCATCAGTCTATCAGTGATTCAACTCCGATGATGTATTTTGTACGGTAAAAAATTAGAGTCATTACGCCCGTCTCAGATGAAGAATGCTATATTGGCTAAGTTTACAGTCAGACTGTGAAGTCTTGTTCACTCAGCTGTGAGTGTTATCACTAGGCTCAAATTTGATAGCTCTGGATTATCTCGAGCTTTGCAGGTGACTCCGTGGTGATATGGGGCAGTGTCCACCCATGTCTTTCGATTCTGTGCACAATTGTCCAGGTATTCGTGACCTGCCATCTTAGAACATTTTGCAGCAGAAAATACTCACATTATAAATACGGCGTGGCGTTGGATGTCTATGAGCACGTTTGAGATAATAGAAAAGAATTCACTGTATCATGTGAGTTCATGCCATGTAGAAGCAACGTTTTGAACTCTGAACTTCTGCGAAAGATCTTTCACTTCGTTATATATATATCTAACAAGATATATATAACGGAGTACATCGCTGAAATCAACGTCAATTTCCGTCGGTGATGTACATTCCCTGCGCTAAGTATCTAGAGTCGGGTCTTGTTCACGTGAATCTGTTTACGTCTCACAACTGTTTCGTTTCTATTCGTTGGATCTTCGGCTGTCGCTTGAACTTTGTGTAAATGTGATACTGCTTCAGACCTCCACTTGGGGTCTGCGTGACGCTACATATTCATTGATTTCGAGGAACCGAGTGGTTCCAGGAGTTGTACTCAGCTTCTGACTAGTACTTCTGCATGTCACAGCCTAGATTCTTTAGACAGGAATTGAAGTTGAGCACCCATCGCACCATGCATTGACTGAAGGCATGAACCATATTGGCATGAACCAACTTCTAGACGACGGAAATTCGCACCGGATTTCCTGCTGTATATTATAATACATTATGCGTCGATGTAGTTCAGTTCGCCGCGGACATCCTGGTCTCGCACTTTCACGAGTGCATCATCTTATAGCTAATGTGCCGTGAGTTCACTTGAGTATGTATTTTAATCCGCCAATGCTCATCAAGTGGCAGTACGGAACATTCTGACCCACATTGAAACCTCCTGTAGCTTGTACCTGCTCAATTCAGCTGCTGTACAAAATGCAGACAGCCAAAATTTCGATTGTTGTGCCAATAGTTGTGTAATCTTGACATTTATGATACTTTCCAGCTTCCAGAGTGGAAATAATATCGTAATACAGTCGAAATGTCAAATTTCAGACACTCAATATTTTCTGTGTATGATTTAGCGTCGAGAAAGACCATATACTAAAGATTTCCGGAAGTTACGAACGTAAAATGCATCACCGTACGTCCCCGTTTTCTCCTCCATTGTGAATTCTTCAAATTCAGTCCCCAGCTGATTACTTTGACATCACTAATTCCTCGGTCATGCGTCGAAGCTTCTAGTGGAGCGGAGGGCTCGTATAGAGGAGAGGATCTGCGGAGCAATAATATGGAACTCAAGAATGCTCTGATTCTAGCCTGGACGCAGTGTATCTTGAGCAGATGACGACCATCATGTCGAACTCTGCGGCACCGACTCCAATCGTCCACATCCGGCATTGAATCCCATCGCAACCCGCTTTTGAATATTGTCAGGGAAATGCGACATCGACGGCTCGCAGTTGTTTCCTAAACTTCTGAGTGACGCGAATCGAGGACAGTGCGTCGAAGTAGTGGTCCTCTGGAACCTTCTGCAATCACCAAATTACACTTTGACGATGCGCAAGAATTCCCCGCAGATGAGACTTCTCCATAAGTCTTCACTCCTCACGCGATAACCTTCTCAAGAATCGACTTACAGCTGCTTTCACACGTAAGAGTTCGCTTAGAGAAGTTTTATTTTTCTGTGTGCGGGTTTGTGCCATGGGTTTTGAATCGGGAAATGCCTATAGGAAAATAACGAAAAGAAGGGAAGAATTTCATGTAATACAAGCAAATTGTGTAACATGTAAACTCGTCTTAGGCCCCAATAACACATGAATAGGAAATGTATCATAATAATGAGGAGTTAGGTTCAACTAAGTGATTTTTCTGAATTTCGTATCGTTTAGTAACGTGCAGTAGTTACATTAATATAGCATGATATTTCGCATTTCATGTATTGCTAGCCTATCAAGGAGAAAAAATTTCTTCATTTACTTTTTATTTATATCTTTAGATGGAGAGATTTTACCAAAGTTCTCTAAGTTTCAACTAGCTAAGTCTGTATGGTTGATATATCAATGATTGTAGGAAACTAGCAAGTTAAGAAGATGATATTTTTCTTGTTTTCTTTTGAAATTTGAGTAAGTTTTTTCCACGAAATAGATTAAACCTGGCACAAATACGATATTAACCCCAAGGACATGTGTTGGCAACGCAGCGTAATATTTTCTCCACATACCGCGATTTTGTCAGGGAGGCGCGGAAAGACAACAAAGCTGACATTTTAGCAAAAAGTTAATTTCAATTGTGACAACTCCAGATTAAGAGTTTATCCACAAAAGCGTTGCTAAGATGAATAAGTTATGATCTACACATAAAATGCTTGGTAGTGCGTACAGATTAGTTGAGTAGAAAAACAATCAATGGTAATATTTACAGGTCGCTAAGTGTATGTATCACTTGGACAGAGGAAGACTCGGTAAGATTGAAAGAGTTGAGGGCTTGGAGATAAAATTGGGTCTGGCGTGAATTGTGAGAGGTACTCAAAGACACAGTTGAAAGGAGAGGACATTCTGATACATGGGCTCAAGCGGTTGAAAGATAATGATCTATTCATAAGGATGTGCAAAATATGCTTAAAGTCTACTTGAAATATAGAATATTTGGTTCAAGATGAGGGAAAAAAAAACTGGTATACGATTGATTTAAACAAAGATTCGTCCTGCAAAAAAGTCATGTTTACATATTATTATTTTTTGTTGAGTTTTTTTAATAAGAGCACACTACTTACGCTACTCTTTATGAAACTGAGTTCATTCTGACAGTATTAAAACAATGAACTAAAACTGCAAACCAATTCTCTACTGTAAGTAGGAAAACAAATGATAGAAGAGAGGTTCATGATAATCTCTAAAAGGAATAAGATTTGAACTATCTATCTGGCCAAAAAGGCCATATTGATGTACTACGAATTATGTTTCAGGGAAATAATAACCATTATACAGTAACTTTTGACTCATGAGAATTTACGGGACGAATTACAAGTTGCAAGAGTGATTGAAACGCACAATGCTTTGTTTTAGAGAACTTGGGTGAAGACAAAGACCATACCATGCAAAGTATGGTAGACTTAAAAAATTTCTACTTCAGATACACCTTGGGCCTAACTTGGCTGGCCACTTATTGTCATAGAAAGTCATATGAGATACATCTAGTTGTATGCTATCCACCAAATTCAAAGGTGGATACATCTCTCATATAATGATCCGTAAGTTGTAAGTTAGTGCACATTCGGTCACTGTCATATTCATCTCGAAAGTATCGGTAAAAGATGACTTCTACAAATTCAAGTTTTTAAGCGCAATATATCCTGGTCCATATCATATCATAGTGCTGGGCTTCACTCAGGACCCCCGAGTTGTTCTTGATACAGCACTTTACATCAATCACTAAAATACAACTGATTCCAACGGAAACTTCATTATTCACTGATGCAGACAAACCTATCGCGTCATTAAACAGTAGAAGAGCATGAATGGTGGAAGTCGAAGAGCCACATTTATGATGAATGTTACCTTGAACAGAGTAACAAATTAGTGGCAGCTACTCAGGAGGTTTATTCTAGAACTCCTCAATTCTGAAAGTCAATAAATCTCTTCATGTGCCACCTGCGAGAGTATCACAGCTTACTGTGTCCGGAGAAATGTTCATGGGGACAATCTTCCTGAGTCTAAGAACAAAGTTTGTATTTGGAGATCGAAAGAATAGGTTTCGAAGGAGATTCCAGACCGCATACAACCCCAGCCGACCAAAAGGCTAGCACAAAATCTGAGAAGATCTCATACGGACGACCCTAGATTGCTACTCGACTATTTGATGTCTAAAGTGGGGCGAAGGACATTATCCTGTTGTTCAAAATGCTAAAGCGCATAACAATCATTTGGAATCCTGATGTTCTACAGTTCTGAATGTTTGGCATATCGAGATGAATCCGAAAGTTATAAGAGGAAAAAGTCTTAGGGTTCTCACTTTTTTTTAATACTGTCATGACTTCAAGAATTGAGGCTTTAAAAGGCATGGGAAATACAGATACAATTGATTTACTAGTATGGAGATATAATCCGAAGTAACTCTCAACACCTTCTTAAGGCGGAATTATTGAGATATCATGTGAAACAGAAACAAAGTCCAACAGAATCAGATATGTGGGTCGCTGATTTTGGCGCCTCGGCGCCTTGGGCTCTCTTTGGACTCGAAATTCAGTCTATACGAACATTGTGCAGAATCTGAGCTTGTGGATGGTGGCAGTCGAAGAAAATTTATCCACACTCGATGTCCCTCTGACTAGATGGTTACAGTGTCAAAGTATCATCCAGCATAAACAATTGTTGGTGGCTATTGATGAGGTTTGATCTAGATCTCCTTCATTCTGAAACATGTACGGTGATAAAATCTCATAACGTACCAGCTACAAGAGTAACAGAAAATTTTCCTTAGAAAATGTACCTGGGGGGTTTTGTTGGGGGAGCTTATTTTTCCGAAAGAGAGTTCCAACTGTAAATGGTGTCGGCCGTAGAAAGAATTAACATATATCTGAGAATATTTTGTAGAGACTAGTTTAAATTGCCATTAGACTAATCGACGTCCCATATCGCTTTGAACATGTGAATCTCTGGATAGAATCTGTATGTATTTTAGTAGAGTTGATGAAGGGTTCATGCCATATCACGTTGGCGGTATGTAGCACATAACACAGTTCGAAGGTCGTGGAGAATATTGAAACTGTGTTCACATGACAGTCAACTCAAGTCCAACAC